GAGAACGAACACTGCCGTTTCCTTCTGATCCAGAGACCCAATCCCTCAACATTATCCCCATTACGAAAACATTGTGAACCCGATAGAAGCAATAGTTTTTAACATATGTTTAGGGTATTAACCATTGGGTTCACAAGCTCATGTGGGTAAGACTAAGACGCTACCTCGCTTGCATTTGGAGGTCGCGGGTTCGCTCCCGTTGCTGGCCGAGAAAGTTCATCTGGTTTTTGTCAGTGATGGAGAGCTGTCAAGAAAGTTTATCTGGTTTTTGTCAATGATGCAGCACAGAGGGCCTGACAAGGGGTGCTGTCAAGTTCGGATTGGACCAACAACCGAGGTCCCGTGTACACCTCAATGCTCCAAACACCCAATTTGAAAATAAAGCATGTTGAAAAAAACAATCGTGGTGTCTATCTTTATCGATATGCGGTCGGGCTTGAGGCGGTAACCCTAGAAATGCGAAACAAACTAGATCATTTCGAGACTAACACTTGGTTCAGTTTTATTTTAATACTTCGCTTTTGGGGGTGGGGAGGTGAGTGTGTGTGTGTGGGGGGGGGTATTTAACAATATGAGGAAACAGGTGGATGCGGTGTAGACCTACGATGTTGGACAGGCAACAACACAACAACACAAATTACAGACCGCATGATTTCACGCGCACCACTAGACCACCCAACCCGCATTTCGCTGGAACGGCAAGTCACATTACACTGAAAAATCGATAGGGTTCACACTCTTATGAAATGAAATGAAATAGGGTTTAACGTCCTACTGTTCTGCTTTGACTTGGCTATTGAAGACTGGGCTGCTTCATAGAGTCTCCACCTGTCACATGGTGCCCATTACGAAAACCTTGTGAACACGGGGTCTGTCATTGAGTCAAGTGGCGTTGTTTCAATTGACGCCTTCTACGTGACAAGGAGCAGGGTAGCTTTTCCAACCTCGTCGGTTCTCTCGGGGTCCACCTGTTCCCCCCCCCCCTCCCACCGCTAAATACCCTACGCACAAGCGAAGTATTGAATTAAAATTGAACCATGTGTTAATCTCAAAGTAACGATAGAGATCACGAATGTTTTTTTAACAAAGTTTTATTCTTCAAATTGGGTGTTTGGAGCATTGGGGTCATTAGTCGACGTGTTAAATCGTAAATCAATTAATTCGATTATTCGAAATAATTATTTCGTTATAACGATTTAATATTTCGTTATAACGAATTAATATTTCGTTATAACGAATTAATATTTCGTTTAAACGAATTAATATTTCGTTTAAACGAATTAATATTTCGTTTAAACGAATTAATATTTCGTTTAAACGAATTAATATTTCGTTTAAACGAATTAATATTTCGTTATAACGAATTAATATTTCGTTAAAACGAATTAATATTTCGTTAAAACGAATTAATTATTTCTTTATAACGAATTACTTATTTCGTTTAAACAAATAATGATTTCGTTTAAACAAATTAATTATTTCGTTATAACGAATTAATATTTCGTTATAACGAATTAATATTTCGTTATAACGAATTAATATTTCGTTATAACGAATTAATATTTCGTTATAACGAATTAATATTTCGTTATAACGAATTAATATTTCGTTATAACGAATTAATATTTCGTTATAACGAATTAATATTTCGTTTAAATGAATTAGTATTCGAGGCGCATATACTAATAAGATTACAAGTTACTGTTAACTGACATAATCGTTGAAATGATACAAAGGGAAGAACTGATAAACACGTATTTGTCCTGGAATTAAACTCTTAATCCACTGTTTGGTGAGCTGTCCATCCTTGGCATGGACAGATGTCACATGACGACTGCCTATTGTCACTTGACGTGATGACATCAACCTGTCTACTCCCGGAGGGCGCGACCGCAAAACGGATTTGGGATGCAGCAAAACCTTTTAGAGTAATGGAGGTTTTAAAAATGTTTAGAGAGAATCGTAAAAAAAGAGAATTGCAGGCCTGAAAAGGAGGAGAGGATAGGGGTTCCCTCCCTAGTAGAGAATTTAATAAGTGTTGCGGTGGCGACTGTATTATCTCAGAATTTGGATGACCCGACCACTACAAATGATGAAGTCCCATAACCGCCTGCAAAGAAAGCTAGGACAGATGAAGCTGAAAAGGTAGAAAGGTGTTTTGTAAACGTTTAATAGTATGATATATCTTTTGTTGATTAAGTCCTGTGTGGCGTAGAAATTAGATTTTTTTATTACTAATGTAATTTAGATTGCCCGTTAACGTGAACGTGCTACAGTACTATTCCCAATACACACATCTGCAGGGCAGGGTCGGGCAGATCAGGGAGAAAAGAATACTATAGTGACTAGCAACGAGACGTAGCTAAAAACGTTGATATATACTGATGTGCTTATATTTAGCTATGATTGGGTGCCCTTTGTTTCACCTGGCAAACATAATTTCTCTATTAATGCTTGTAACATCTTAAAATTAAGTTAATTTTATACTATTAAAATCTGTTACACATGCGCAGCCCAATCTATTGAAACAACTTTCATTTATCAGCAAATATTGATCTTAAAGTAAATCAAGCGTTGTTTTATCAAATTTGATACGGACATTCATTATTACGGTAGGTTAGTACTGTGGTCCGCCTTTATGTGTTGAAGACCTAAATTTAAAATGTCGGAGAAAGCAATCTTTTATCGCTTAGATTTAAAAAGAGGGTTTTGTACTCGAGTCGTGCTTAATTGTAGTTGGATGTTGTAGTTTACTTGTAGTTGGATGTTGCAGAAATGTTATAAATAAAAATAATCAATCGTTGTTTCGAAGAAAAAAATGTTAATGTTGCTTATTTGAATCCAGATGTGATAAGCGTTGGGGACTTGGCCCCACGCGCTACTCGTGTTCTTCTTCCTTCTCTTCTTGCTCTTGAGGGCGACGCTCTTCAAAACGCCAATCTCCGTTAATTTAAGTACGATACACATGAAACTTGATATGCATCCTCTGCATCGATTGACGGATTTCGATCTTTGATATGACGTCACAATTCCAAGATGGCTGTGATGACGTCACAATCGGTTTCCAGTCCATAATACGCCCCATTCTCCCAAACAGAGATGTATTCTCTTTCAGTTCACACTAACAGCTAGATATCGCGATCTGAAGAGATTGAGCACGCCCGTACTTGCTGTTAGTCTCCAATTATTTAACTGTACCGCAGACTAAATTCTGCCAGACAATTTGATTCAAAACAAAAGACAATTTGTAAAATTCATAATCCTTTGTTACTCGCCTCTAATTTAATCACTTTCCGCTTTTAACATAAATGTGTTGGGATCTCAAACCCACCCCGAAAAAAGGGACAGGGTTGAAAATATTCTATTATTCGCTTAAACCATAAAGCATCGGCCGTAATAACTGCCCTTAGAAAGAACGGTCTGTTTCATTGTCGATAGAAATGAAATCTGCTATGATATTCGTCACTTTGAGACCATCAATGTTCATTTCATGACAAAACTTGACAAACAATATTAGGCTTGCAGGGGTGCAGGAAGCAATTTGGCACAGAAGAGGTTGCAGCTTTTCAGAAAGGGTGTTTCTTATATACTAAGCAGCAAAAGAAACGTCAGTTTGGTATGTTACTCTGAATAGACGCATTGCATAAAACTTGCCAAATGTTTTTATTATGTGACCACATCTCCAACTTTACCTGAGCAATAAGGCTCCTTCCCAAACACAGAATTGATCCCAGGAAATGTTCTCAAAAACGCAACCTGACTTCTGAGATGGTAATGTGTTCTTCATGATTTTCATGTACCCCATGCTGCACGTGCTGTTCACCGGTACCAGCCCTATAAAATCCTCAGCGGAACCAGGCGCTTGGAAGAGTCGACGCTGTCCACACTGCCCAAGCCGTTGCCAATCACTTCCAGGTTAATGTTCGGACCATCTATAGGCATCATCAGCGCTTTCGGGCCACAAACACCACGGATGATCGCCCCCGAACTGGTAGACCAAGAGTTACCACAAGGCGACAAGATCGCCATGTTGTGCTACAGCACGTGCAGAATCCCTTCACACGGGCATCTGAGACAGCACGTCAGACAGCGGGAACACATGGAAGACGCATCAGTACCGATACAGTGCGCCGACGTCTCACCAGAGAGAACATCCATTGCCGTAGACCTTACTGTGGACCGATCCTCACCCCTGGCCATCGACGTGAACGTCTACAGTTTGCCTAACAACACCAGAACTGGCGACAGAGGCAATGGAGAACTGTTCTGTTTACAGATGAGAGTCGGTATTGCGTATCAACTACAGATGGCAGGACCAGAATATGGCGTCGACGTGGCCAGCGTTATTCTGAACAATGTGTCATGGAACGAGATTCATGGGGAGGTCCAAGCATAATGGTTTAGGTTGGAATCGGCCTGAACCAGAGAATGGGCCCTATGGCGTTCCAAAATCTTGACGTTTTTTTGTTTTGTTTTGTTTTTTTTGTTTTTTTATTTTTTTTTATTTTTTTTGCTGTTTAGTATATATATGGGTAGAGACAAAGACACTACTGAATGGCGTTCGGCTGAGCATCCAACGATCATGAGTAACCCAGTTGGTGGAATATTAAAATTTTGGTATCGCAGGGTAAAACCAAGTAGTGCTTTTTAAGTTTTAATTCATACTGTCTTTCCATCTTATTTTCTATTGTTTAGTGTTGGCGATAATGCTATTAAGATCGCTGACAATCCGATTGCATTAAGATAAATATTATTATGTTTCAATATTTTGCTTGTGTTTTCAGCGCAACCATTTATCCAGATAATCCGATTTGTATGGATTCATCCAGATTCGCCAATTTGCTATATACACGGATTGTAATGTTTATAACAAAACAAATTACGAATACAAGAGAGACTGACTCGTTTCCGTCAATTTTGTATGTCATTTCAACCAACATATCATAAAAATGAACGAACTCACAAAATGGAAGCAAAACTGTTGATAATACGCAACTTACTTGGCCTCGTTTAGATACACAGTTTCCTCTTCCGCTACATCTGTCGCCATCTTTCCAACAATGCTGCTCTTTTACCGTTACATTCAATCTTAGTCCAAATTCACAGCTCACCAGTTTATGGTCTTCTAAATCAACTTGAATAAATAATATAATGTGGGTTACTTTGTTAGACAAAATCAAATTCAATACGATATTTTACTACCTTATTATTAAATCTTTGGGAAAATGGTACGCTAATATATCGAGAGAGAGTCTGGTCGCCATTTTGTTACCCATTCTTACGTTGCAGATAGAATCACAGTACAGCGTGTGACCGATTTATATATTTTAGATCAGGACCAATGTATTTTTATGTTCACTCAAGTATAGAGGTAAACAATAATTTTAATAAATCAATTTTATTGATAATATTTATTTATTTATTTATTTATTTTTTAACATTAAAAATACAGCAATAATCCAATATATATCGCTTGACTACGGGTTAAATCGAAAGTATCGAAAAATGATTACCCTTGAAATTAGAAGCTAATTCTGTATTTAATTGGTATCATATGTTATTATCCCGCGTCGAACGAAGTTATAAGGGGGGGATATTGAAACGGGCTCCGTCCATCCCGATTTCGTTTCCGAATTTTATTTTTTTTAAAAATGACATTAAACATACTGCAATGATCCAATATATTATTTGACTACAGATTAAATCGAAGTATCGAATAATGATTGCCTCTGAAATTAAAAACTAGTTTTTTATTTAATTTTAATTTTTATCGTATGTTATTATAACGCGCCGAAAGTGGTAAACGAAAGATACTGAAACGGGTTCTGTCCATCCCAATTTCGTTTCCAGGGCATATCAGAGGATATCTTTATGAAACGTTGTTATTTGTAAACACATCAACCGATTATATTAGTTGTGCATTTTTGTGTTTCCTTGGAAACAGTGAGTTGAGTTGTCGAGTGATCTAACACGTGCGCTTTAGATCACCAGCTGTGTCATTGAGTTAAGTGGCGATATTTCGATCTAAAGATTCTACGTGACAAGGAGTAGGGTTGCCTGTCCAACCTCGTGGGTTTTCTCTGTTTCTACAAGTCCCCTCCCACTGCCAAAGACTAGACAAAGAATAATATTAATCTTAATAAACAGAAATTTTTCAGACTGAAAGGCTTAATTCGAATGATAATGCGCAGTGTGAAATGCTAATAATGAGTTCTGACAGTTCTGCATAAGATGTATGGTCAGTAAGAGGCGAGAACTGTGCAATATACCGCAACACTTTATACCATATCCACGATATTTGAATCGAAAAACGACTAGGCCTACTTGGCTAGGCCTACACTGTGTGTCTCAAGCTCATAGCAAATTATTAAAAATGCACTCCTGGGTGATGTTGAAGTCATGAAACATAATAAAGAAAAATGACCACATTGATGAAGTTCAAATCGAAAAATATGTGTCAAACTCAAAAGTGTAAGTTCATAAATTTGTTTCGAAAATTCATTCATGGACGAAGTCATTGTACATATCTATAAAAAATGACCAAAACCGCAACACTTTATGCTATAGAGACGAAATCTAAACTGAAATAACATCTACTACTTAGTTCATAGCAAATCATCAAAAAAATAAATAAATAAATAAAATAACCAATGACGTGACGTGAATGTCATTAGGTTGGGAACTTCTTCGAACTACAATAACAATCTACGATCGCTTGAAACCGTTAAAAACCAGCGGCTGCCAGGCTGGATACGCCCACATTTTGCAAGAGATAGATAGAGAACAAAAAAGCGATTTTCGTACAATCAATGGCCCTAATTCAGGAAGTTACGATCCGATATGCGCGAGTATCAACAGGAACCAAGATCTCTGGGTTATAAACATATATTTCAAGTTTCATCAAAATCGGATCAAAATTGTGACTTCGAAAGGGTCCACAACCTTGACATACCATATATCGAGGGTATAGAACATAATTGCGATAAGTCAATATATCAGGCATTGTGACTTATCACAATTATGTTCTAAACCCTCGATATACTCTTCAAAAAAAGTAGGGGATATTGAAATGCAAATACCCATGCAGGTTGTGAGGGAGAGAGAAATGGGGTTTAACGCCCACTCGACACAAACTAGGTCGGACCACAAGCTAAAAACGCGATTTTTCGTACAATCAAGGGCCATAATTCAGGAAATGATGATCCGGTATGCGCGAATATCGAGAGAAACCACGATCGTTGGGTTATAAACATGTATTTCAAGTTTCACCAAAATTGGATCAACATTGTGGCCTCTAGAGGGTCAACAACCTTGATATACCATATATTTACACTATTTACCTACGAGGGACCGCCATTTTGTCCAGCAGGTTTGGTCCAATTTTCACGAAATTCGAACTAGAGTGTGACGGTAATATATTCCAACGGTTTTTAAAATCGAATAAATATTGTTACCTGTAGAGGGACCACAAGCTAAAAACGTGATTTTTCGTACAATCAAGGGCTATAATTCAGGAAGTTACGATCCGATATGCGCGTTTTGAAAGAAACCAGGATCTATGGGTTATAAACATGTATTTCAAGTTTCATCAAAATCGGATCAAAATTAATATTCCACATTTGCGTATGAGGGGCGGCCATTTTATCCGGCAGTTTTGGTCCGATTTTCACGAAATTTTAACTGACGCATCATAACAGTGTATCTGTGATGTATTAGCACGAGTTTTTAAATCGGATAATAATTGTGACCTCTAGAGGGACCACAGGCTTACAACGCGAGTTTTCATACAATCAGGGGCCACAATTCTGAAGTTACGATCCGATATGCGCAAATATAGAAAGGAACCAAGATCTTTGAGTTTTAAACGTGCATTTAAAGTTTCATAAAAAAATCAGATGAAAATTGTGACCTCTAGAGGGTCCACAAGCTAAAAACGTGATTTTTTCGTACAATCAGGGGCCATAATCCATGAAGTTATGGTCCGATATATGCCAATAGCCAATATCAAAAGGAACCGAGTTCTTTGGGAGATAGACCTATATTTTAAGTTTCGTCAAAATCGAATAAACATTGTGACCTGTAGGGTGTCCACAAAAAAATTGTGGACGTCCGGACGTCTGGACAGGAGCAACAACAATATACGTGCACATGAAAATGTGGGAGTATAAAAACGAATGATAGGCTATTACTATTGACATCAAACAAGAAAGAATTTTTACCAGGCTTCCATCTACTTCTTTTTAATTTCACTTCCCATAACCGAGGCCTTTCTTCATTTTTTTGTGAACCTGTACATATGAATCCATGTGTCACGTGACAACCGTTATAAGGCTCTGCCAACCTCTTGTTGGGGGTAATTAAACAAACCATGATCTATTATTTTAAATATACTGACAAAAATTTAAAACTCTGTTAACTGAGTTAACGGTTCGATGCGTCATTGGTAATCCCTTGCAACCTGCATGTATAATATTGTGGAAATTTAATCTCCAATCGGAATAGACGCCGCCATATTTCATTGGTAGCGGAGAACTCGATGAGCATAGTTGAAATCCGATTGAATTCAAGCCGGAAGGTTATCTAGCGTTGGTATTTTGATTGTGTTCTCTAAATTTAATGTTAAATAATCAATCTGAGTACATATTTAGCGTAGATTAAGCCGTGAAAAATTTGATATTTTAGCGAAAATGCAAATGACGCATCGTTCCTTTAATTAAAGAAATCATACGTGCGATCATTTAAAGGCAATATAAATTGTTACAGGTCAAAGGGAAACTAATAATAACATACAAAATAAATTATATCTGATTAGCCAATGATAATTAGGGAAAACCACTTAATCATAACCTTGAATAGTAACAGATAAGAAGGGAACTTATCAAAACATATGGAAGGTAATTATATAAAGCACAACAATTATAAGGGAAACCACATAATCAATTAATTATTTCGTACGAAGTCGGCGATATGGGAAAACAACATTTTATTTTATTCGAAATAAAGATGTTTTAGGAAAAAAAACCTAGGTTTTTGCGAGTACTTTCCGCTTTTAAAAGCTTCTTCAGGCAAATTTTAACAATTGATGTGACGTAATAACGTCATGGTTACAACAATGAACTATAATGGCTATAATATGCACGATAAGATAATATGCATACATTATGTATTATTAACAAAATTATTAATGAAACATTTATAATTTACACAACTACAATGTTAATATAACAAAAAATCAACACCTTGAATTAAGCAGTGGTTTGAATTTTTCAATAAAATATGTTTCCTTTGCTTCTAATAGATCGTTGTTTTTGCTGTTTAATTGATATAACGGAAAGACATTTTAATGTCTTTCCGTTATATCAATTAAACAATTTTAAAAAATTGCATTTGCCACAAACATCAAGGTGTCGGCTCAGGGGTATCATCCTGTATAGCGGATTAAGAATATGTTGTCGATGGAGGTTCATTCTTAATCTAAGCATATTTATGGTCTTTCCGATATATCTACCCTTACAGCCCGGACAAATTATTACATATATAATGTAATCGGATTTACAAGTCATTGGTTGTTTTACATGGGTTTGTTCTCACTTTCCCAGCAGATTAACCCTACTAATTAAGCGGATTAGGGATTAGTTATAGATTAGTGAGTTATACTCTGTTTTAATTATTGCATGAACAGTTCAATTTAACCTATGACATGTGTGAACTATAAATCACTGTCTGATTTTTCGTTCGTATGTCGGTTTAATTTTATACTTAATTACGATGAACACTGTTTATGATAAAAGTTTATTAAATAGTCGAAAGTTCAAATTGTATGTCATTCCAAATTGGCTAATGCACAGGTAAACGTTAGATTCATTCCAAACTCGAGAGGTACTCGAAGCCTAGTTTATGATAATTATAAGTTTAGTGTTAAGACAAGAAGAGGAGCTACCATTCACTGGAGGTTTACTGTTCGTGAATGCCCTGCTACTTGCAATACGAGAAATGACCTGGTTACTACCTACAGAAACAACAAACAATGTTGAAGGTTGGCATTCAAAGTTAAAGAAAGTATCGTCAAACCATCCAAATATTTTTTGATTCACAGAACTACTAAAGTCAGAACAGGGTTACACAGAGATACAA